ATTGAGGATCATGGTTTTCTAAACTTAATTTGGAAAATGAGGTATGAGATGTCTGGTTCAATGTTTTTTCTTCTTAAGAAAAGGCAAATCCTGCTATAGAAAATGCATGCACTCATTTGTATATATTACACTTTAAGGTTCCTTCAGTGCTCTGAATTTTGTGATGTGCACAAGAAGCTATGTTTGTGTTTTTGTTTACATGAATCGTATTACAGAAATAAATTCTACTCTAAAATTGCCTTTAGCATACTAAGGTTTCTAGATTTTCGTATTCAAATTTTGTCTCTCTTTTATTTTTCTTTTCTTTTCATCTTAACCCAAAAAGTAGCTTATTTTCTTGTTCAATAGATAAAAATTTGCATACTTCATCCTTAATAAAAAAAAGTTTTAAAATCATTTTATTATTGTTGAATTTTGGTAGGTTGACATAGGTTTTTAACAAAATACATTTACTATTCATTTCCATCTTTAGGGAGCTATGCCTAAGTAACTCACATTAGAGATGAGAAAAACAGAATACAGTTTATGAGTAAAGTGCCCATTTCCTAAAAGTGACATTTTTTGCATGTTGCATGGGATTTTCCAGCACATTTGTCAGCAGTGTGTGTGCAGTATAGAGCCATGTTGGCAAACCTTTTAGAGATGATGCCTAAACTACAGTCCAAAGCCCTCTCATTTATCTCAAAGTTCCAATAAGGCAATTAAACCTGAATTATAGTTTTAGTTTAGAAAAACAGCTCATACATTAACGTCTTTTGTCTTTAAGAAAAACATATAATGGGAATCCCATAACGTTGCATTGAGACTGTGCACATATATGCATTTTACAGCAGCAAAACAGAAGGATAGACTAACAGAATATGTACTTGGATCAAGTGCAAAACCCTTATTATGACCCAATTTATTGGTCCAAGGGAAGTATATATCCTGAGGACACAGGTACTTAAATCATTTAGGTATCAGAAAATTTGAGGCAAGAAACTATGATTTCAAAGTTCATAACCCTTTGAAGCTTCTGTCATTCTGGGTTCTCTAAACTGAAAATCAAAAGTAATTTTTTTCTAAGCCTTCCTTTAAAGAAAAATCAAGTGTCTCATCCTTCATGTTTAATATGAGCTCTATCCACCTAATATTTCACAGAAGAAGGATATCTAGCCATTAAATAACCAGTTAATATGGGATCAAAAAAGCAAAAAGCAGCACTAAAAGGCTAGTATAAATGCAGCTTGTAACTTCTCAGGACAAATATGCTTTATGATAGGAGAAGACATGGATGAGACAGAACCTCATCTGAAGGATGGTAAGTCTGCCTTGTGTTTCCAAAAGGCAAAGCCCTACAAGTAGTGAACGTCTGCAAAGGTTGAAGAAAGTATAATATATATTTAAACTAAAAATAAATTTTAAAGATTAGTCCAGTAAAAGACATTGCTATTAAATTCCCTCAAACTATTCCTTCTTACTTTGAACACATGTGTCTCATCATTCTTGCTGATTTCCAGAGAATTTCGGGAAGTCCTCCTTTCTGAGTGACTATCCAAAGTATATTTAAAAAATGCAGTAAATGCTGCTGATAAGAGCGCCCAATGGGAAAGCAGCTTGTAAAGTAAAGACATTCTAGTGTGTAGTGGTCCACTTCATCTGCCCACCAAGTCTGACACTGCGTAATTTCTTCCTCTTCCACAGAGTCAAAGTTACCATTTGTGGGAAATATTTTGAATTGATTCAGGACATTGATGCTTCTGCAATGTTGCATTTAGGGACAGTCATGAAAAAGTACACTCAGATGCTTGAGAAAATGGGGTGAATGATGGGATAAGTATATTTTAATTGTGGGGGGGCTACTTTGAGAAGAATTTAAGGCAGTGTTTTTCATTGTAATTTTTTTTAATTTAAAAATTCCCATTATTATGTGAGCATACCTTGTTTAGCTTTCCACATCAGTATTAGTCATTTTATAGTTATTAATGTTTATTCCATGCAAAAACCTTGTGATACATTATCTTATTTTGTGAATGTGGAAGTTGAGGCTAGGTAAAAATTTATCTGTACCAGTTCACATGGCAAAAACTGGCAGAATCAGACTATGATCTTATGCCTAATATAGCACTTGCGCTAAAATGTTCTTATTCTAAGATAACTATTATCATTAGAGCTAATACTTAAGAAGTTAAAAAAAATCAGAGAAACCTGAACTTGATAAACTTAGTTTAAACATAAAATATAGGCACAGCAATTGGTGATATAACAAGAACAGAACAAAGTGGCTGAATCATCACAGAAACTGGCCTGGAGCATTACCCCCTAGGTGACAGCAGTATGATCCAAATTTCACCAACTTGGCCATTTTCTTTTGGCTATCCAACTAGTAAAATGTAAGCAATTTATTGTCTAGGTATCTACAGTTATTTTGCTATTTTAATGTGTTTGGTATGTTCAGCAGTAAAAAGAGAGCAATTTAATAATTTCCTTCAAAAAAGATTGTCAATAAAAAGAATGATATATAAGTAGATACCCAAAAGCTTGCAGAAGAAGCTTGAGTATCTGGTATAGAAAACTTGTGTTATTCTTGGTAGGATTCAAAAAAGAGTGCTAAATGACAGAAAGATGTCATCTAGGTAGCACATCATGCTTAGTGAAATTCACCATGGTTTTATATTTACATAGATTTAGTAAGATGAGGAGATAGAGAAAGAGACAGAGACAGAGAGTGGGAGGGAGGGGCAATTGTTTCTAGCTTCAGAGAATACCTTTTGGGGAAATTTTGGAATCTTTGCGAGCAGGAAACTAGTAAACAGTTAAACCTTGTGTAACTTGATAACAAAAACCCAAAATGTAATTAATAAATGCTTTTGAACAATATGTGAAACATTTACAGAGTGCTTGGAAGAGAGCTCTGTTTCTTAAACAACTGTAAATGATTGTATTTACTGAAGCAGTCTGGATACAGCAAGCGGAGCCATCCACAGTTAATTCAATTAAACTTTATGTGGTAAAAATAGCAAGAAGGAAAACAGCTCAACAGCCATAACAACAGAGACAGAGACTACTGAACACTGAGTTAAGCACTAATTGAAAACACTACAGATCTATGACCCAACGTGAGTTCCTGAGGGAAAACGGAGTGAAACCAAGTACTGAGTCACTCACGTTGAAATCTTGGAATTAATGAGTTCCTGGATTAGAGAAGAATGATTTTAGATTCAGAAGTCTCAAAAATAGGAAAAAATACTATTCATGTAGTCCAGATGTCTTGGTTTGGGTTGGATATCAATGTTCCATGGAGTGAGTGGTTTATGTACAATTTGCATCTATTTCTCACACTGAAAGTCAAGATCAGAGCGCCAGCAAGGCTAAATTATAGTAAAGACTCTTCCAAGTTGCACATGGCTGATTCTTGTGTTCTCAAATGGCAGGAAGCAGAGAGTGAAAATGATAGTTCTCTGCTGTTTTTAATAAGGTCATCGAGTCTATCCATGAGTGCTCCACCTCAGGTACTAACTGCCCTACCAAAGTTTTCACCTCTCACTGTCTACACACTCAGGGTTAGGTTTTCAACATAAAAGATTGGGAAGCACACACTCATTCTTTCAATCGCATTCCACTGCTGGTTCCTGAATGTTAAAGTTTTCTCACCAGTCAGTTATAACCATGACATCTCAAAGACCCTAGAAGTTTTAGCTCATCCTATCATCAACTTCAATTGTCATCTGCATATCACATCTAGGTAACACTCAAAATATTTTGTCTGGAGATAAGATTCTTTTCCAGTCTCGAGTCTGAGAAATAAGTCACATTCCAATCATAATGGTGAGACAGGCATTGGATATATGGCAATCTAAAAAGAAGGAAGTCTAAACCCTGGAAGTGGAAAACCCATGAGATATTAAGATTTAAGAATAGTTCACTCTGGCTCAGTGTTCTGCCATCCAGGTCCATTGGCTGGTAGTCCTACCTACAAGACTCATTGGAACAGGATCCTGTACCTACTCTGCCAGTTAAGAATCCTACCTCCACATATCTGCTATGCAGGAGCAGAACTCCCACAGCTTTGGAAAACCCAGCCCTGATCTTTGTTTGGAGTCACTTGGTCTATCCAAAGTAAGGAAATATTCCAAACTATTTTTGACACAAAAAAGGCAATGCTAATCCATGAAATGCTGTTAGGTTTCTTTTTCCTTTGACTTGCAAAGGACAACACATTGGAAGCAGAAGAGATTCATCTAGGGAGATCCAAGAGTTTAGCAGCCTCCCCACAATCCCCATCTTTTTTTCTTTTCAGATAAATCACCTGCTGGGATTGCCAATTGAGTCTGTGCTTCACACATGTGCTGATCTTCATTTCACAGATTCATGGCTATGACCTTAGTGTTTTTCCCCAAACATGCTTTCTCTTTTCTTCTTTTTTTTTTTTTTTGAGATGAATAGGCTGAGAATTTTTCAAATCACTTAAGATTTATTTTCCTTTTGCTTAATCATTCAACCTATAATTTATAGTTCCTTTTTTATAGATGATCAGAAAGCATCAAAAGCATCATTTTAACATTTTGCTTTGGATTCTTCTCAGCTAATTGTAAACATCCAATTGCATCATTTTTTTTTTTTTTAGAAAACAGCTTTACTAATAATATGGGAACAACTACATTCCAGGTTTAATAGCCAGAGTGAAATATTCTTCCTGCTATTCTCCAAGACTTGTGACGCCATTTGTATATACTGTGTTCTTTCCCAAAGCCTCTTGTTTTGTCTTGGAGCTGAGAAGAAACATGGTTTGCACAGGGCATGGTGACACATACCTGTAACCACAGTCAGGAGATTGAAGCAAGGAGGTTGTTGTGAGTTCAAGGCAGGTCTGTTCTACCTGGTGAGTTCAAAGCTAGTCTGAATGACGTAGGAGATCCTAAAGTCAGTCCTGACCTCTAAATAAGGTGTTGGATCTCAAACGCATGAGATGAAGTAAGTCATGATTACATGCTGCATTGTCACCTAAACTATTATACCCAACAAATCAGATTTCCAAGTCTCAACAGCAACTCATCAGCCAAATGTAACTCCATGTAAGTCATCACACACTCAATTTCATCTTTTAAAATTATACCTTCAAGAAAGTTCTGTGATATTATTGGCTTGTTTTTCATAAGAATATGTTTGATTTCTATCTTGCATTCTGAGTACTACTTTAAAGTAACACTGTAAAATGTATTAACTATTGTTATTATATTACCTTGCTATGAAATTTTGATTTAGTTTTTCATAAAGTAAAATATACATCTCCACAAAATAACATAGGAATAAAATTCAGCCATATTATTTGTCACTTCAAAACAAAGTTTGGCTTTTAGTCTGTTCCTCAGTAATGGAATCCTCATTTCTAGCTAAGAACTCATCAGACTGTACTTTACAATCTACATTTCTACTAACATTCTGTCTATGATTTTTTTGTGTATCCTCTAGTAAGGTAAACTTTTTCTTTACATCTCTTCTCTTTCCTTTTTGAACCATCATTAGTTCACCATTAAAAATCTCTTTACAACAATCTGAGTTTCTTTTAGCATGTATTTCCACTCTTCCAACCTCTACTTGTTTCTGAGTTCCAAAGCTGCCCTTACATTTCAAAATATTTGTAGTAGCACCATCTCAGTTTTCACTGATGCCAACCTCTATCTTAATCAGTTCATGATGGTGTAACAAAATATCACAGACTGGGTAGCTTAAAAAATAACAAAGATTTGTTTCCTATAGTTCTGGGAGCTAGGAGTTGAGGTAAGGCAGGTACCATCCTTGTTGCATTCTGACCAGGTACCATTTCCGAGTGATGACACTTTTTTCATTGTGTCCTTGTGTGGCAAAGAGCAGAACTGCAAGATCTCTAGTTTTTAAATATATATAAAGGTACTGATTACATTCATTATACTTTCATAATCAAATGATCTTCTAAAGACTCCACATCCTAACAGTATTACATTGCAGGATTTGAAATGTCAAGATTAGAATTTGGTGGATGAGGGCACAAATACTCCGTAAACTGCAACAAGTAAATATTGTGACCCCACATATAAATTGGTTGTTATATTTAATTAGAAAACAAAAGGAAGGAAATGCTTAGAGAACATTTCTAAGCATTCTAAGTAAAAGGTGATTCTTGAGAGCATACATAGTTCACTACTCAGAGCATCTATCCAAATCAAGGAAAATGAACAGCCGTGGGCACTTGGAAGGACAAAGAGCATCAATATTCATTGATGCCCATAGAGAAGTCCATGACCCCTTGGTTTATTTGCATATTAGATTCAAAACCTCATCATTAATAATTGAAACCACTCTAGTGTTTGATGCTCCAACAGTATAATTTCAAGTTAATTTCATAGGGAGGAGTATTTCATTTCAGAACAGCACCCAGCTCAGTGGCAGGCATAAGACTCTGATAAAGAATAACAAGCTAGTTGATTCAAAGCCTAAATAGATAACAGAGTATCAGGTTATAAATGGAAAACAGCGAGAGATTTTATAGGTAAAAGAGTTACAGAAAGCAGCAAAAGCCATAATTTCAACTATGAAGAGATCTTCCATGAAGAATAATGAAAAAATAGCAATATTCCTGAGAGCGGAGGAATGCCTGACCTCCACGAAGAAGGGAAAAATGATCATGTTTGTGGTAACATGAGAGACAGTAAGTGAGAACAGAATAACTTGAAAAGAATGTAAGAGTTCAGTCTTCCTGCTTCTCAAGCTTCATATTTTCTTCTAACTATGAATGAAAGCCACTTGAGATTTAAGCAAATGAATGGCATGAATAGTTTTGCTTTAATTCTGAATTTTGTATAAAGAATAAACTTGGCACAACAGATATGAAGGCACCGAGACAAGCTAAAAGAATGCCAGCACATTTTGTGTTGGAAACAATGCATTTTAGATTAGGGTCATAACAGAGAATGTGTGACAGATGGACAGATGCATGCTATATTTGAAAAGTAAAGTATGTATGAACCATTGATAATTTGGATCGTGGGTATAAAAGGATATTTCCAACATTTAACCTTAGCAACTGGGGCACAGTGGTATCTCCTTGAGGTAAAGCAAATTTTGGTGACAAATCACAAGTGAAATTACTGATGCGCTGTAATGGAAGGGTGTATTAGAACCTCAGGTGGAAAGTTACCTAAAACCGTGGAACTGTGTGAAATAATTTAGTGAATGAAAATAGACTGAGGCATAAAAAATGCAATAATAATACTAGATACAACATTTATGAATTTGGAAAAAGTAGAACAAGCAAACGGAGACTGAATAACAAGGGCATCTAATCTGGGAGTAGCGAAAATGTAGCAGGTAGTGTTGTTCTTGCCAAGGTGGAAAATAAATGTTTGATGATGTCAGTGGGTTTCTCTTAGCATACATGTACTATTAACTGCAAAGAAACTTTATTTTTCCTTCAAAATCAAGTGGAAATAATGTGACATAAGATAAAATATGTAAAATGAATTAGAGGATGGCCGCCAAAGACTATTAGTCTTAAGAACACAAAGGGGATTAGGTGTTGTCTTGATGATTCCAAGAAGCTGCCAGAAGCAATTTTCAAGCTGCAGAGAGTTGAGGTTAAAGCACACAGATCTCTGATATCTCACTGAGATGGGGGGGGGATTCCAAAGTTCAAAGAGCTTTGGGCTTATTTGAATTTGCAGGAAAGACTTGTAGAGAGAAGACAGCTAGACTGATTTAAAGTTCTTGGAGCACACATAAATTTTTTTATATTACCCACTTTAACAGTAATAAAGCATCACTAGGCTGGAAAGGAAAAAAGAAAGAAAAGAAGAAAGAAAACTACAAAGAATAATAGTCACAGAACTAGAAGAATAGTTTCCAGAGCTTACACAGAGATAGGAATAATTTTCTTTTCTTTCAGATAAAGTGAACAATTGCTGAATGAGTATTCAGTAGATGACCCAGGAGGGGAGGTAGAAAGTGGGGCTGTTGAACTTTCTATCAGATACTCTAGATATTCTTGAACAAAAGCTTAAAATAAAACTTCAGAAATATCAATCAAATATTCAAGTCCTTCACTATCTGCCTGGAAAATTCAGCATTAAAAAATATGTAATTCAGAACATGAAAAAGCAAGCTAGTGTGAGCAATAGTCAACAGAAAAACATGCAATAGACAGACTAAGAAATGATGAATGGAAAGTAATTACCAGGATGAATGATATGCTCAGAACAGTAAGGAAATATATCAACAAAATGAAAAGGGAAATGAGAGATATAGGAGGAAACTTTAGTGGAATGCCTTGGCATGGAAATAGCACTAACTGAAAGGAAATATACTTAAAATGAGATTAACATTCTATACAGACAAAAAAATAAGATTAGCAAACATAAAGTAGCATACTGAAATAACAAAATAAGCCCCAAAGAATCAGAAGACTGAAGACTCAACATAGCATCAATAACCTTTGGGGAAAGTTGCCAAGAAGTTTTAGGGTCACCTGATGAAGGCGGAGGATTGGAGAGCTGGTAGAGAAAACAGATCTGAGGAAACAACAAAACTTTCACGACTTAAGAAGCTCTAAATCTGCGTAATCAAGAAGTTCAATGAGCTCTAAGAATTAAACCAAAACACTCCAAGAAATAGTCATCAAATTATTGAAAATTAATGATAAATGTAAACTACCTTAGGAGTTGCCTACACCTATGATCCCAGCATTCTGAGAGCCTAAGCAGAAACAGTCTGTTTGAGGCCGCCCTTGGGCAGGTGACTTAGTGAGATGCTACCCCAAAATAAAAACTAAAAGTGAGCTAGGGATGTAGCATAGAGCAAAAGCCTGGATTCAATCCCTAGAAGTGCAAAAGGCAAACTAGTAAATGGTAAACTTTGAAAACTTAAAAGAAAAATATTAAAAGGAATTACATGGATAAAGTTCATTATGAATGACCTTATAGTTAAGGGTCAGAGGAGAAAACTTGTCATATTCTCTATCAGAAAGAGCATAATAGAATGATGTGTTTAATGTTCTTAACAGAAAGACTACATAGATATTATCAGCACAGAATTCACTGTCCAATGAGGATACCTTTCAAAATTAAAAATGAAATACTTTTTCAGACAAGCAAGGATGTGAAATAATTTAACATTAGTGTATTTGCACTTTAAAAAGTTTTAAAAAATTCTCTGAAGCCATCTACAATATGACATTAGATGGAAATGTGTGTCTACAGAAGTAAGTAATACAGATGGTAAAAAATTACAAATATTAGGAGCTTCATAATATATAGAGAAATAAAATGCATGGCAACCATAGCACAAATGTGGGGGACATTTTGTTATTTTGTTACAAAATTGTTATTTTGTAAAATTTATTTTTTAGGAATGTAATTTTGAAAAATTTTCTTTACTCTTTAGCTAAGTTCGCTGTTTTAATTTTTTATTAGTCTTCATTTTCAGGACATTACGATTACTACGTCCATCAAGAGGGGTTCATGCATTTACATACATATCTTTATTTATTTATTTTTCCCTTCTTCTCCACCCGTTGGGCTCATTCTCTTTTACAAAAGATATGTGTCCTATTTTCTTTTGTTTTGCTTTTTAAATTTACTTATACCGTGGTTTTCTCATCAAAGAGAAACTATGACATGTGAGTGATAATGATCATGTGTCTAATTTATTTCACTGAATATTATGGTGATCATGGACATAATGCTGAATGTACAATGTTATAAAATAAATCTATGTATTATAAATGCTAGTCCAGCAGAATAATATATAACCATAAAGTTAACAGTGATGGTAACATAAAATCACAATTCAATCCTGATGATGACAATAAGAGAAAATTAGAATAAAAACATGGACAATCAGTAAATAAGATGATGGATTCTAGTTAAAGGATATTAACAATTACATTAAATGTTAATGACCAAAATCTCCTCTAATGACGTTTAAGTTATCAAATCAGACAAAAATAAAAACCTAGTATATAGCATCTACTAAATCTACTTCAAATGAATAACACATGCAGATTAAAAACAAAGGAAGAAAAAGACATTAAAAATCCACATTAATCAAGGAAGGCTGAT